CAGCACTCGGTCGGTTTGGTGGGCAGGATGATGCGACCGAGCAAAACAGCAAAGATGGTGGTGGATCGTTTCAAACGGCTTTGGCATTAACTTTGGACTGATTAGACCTGGCCTTATCTTTGAGTTAGGGCTGCTCAATTAATCAAATTTTAATCCCAATTACGATCTGAGTTTTGAACGATTATAAAAACAAAACAAGCCAATTATTTGCTCCTCCCTCTTGCGCTGCCCTGAGTTGCAAATGAAGCGCTCCTCCCACAGTGTTGCCAACTTGGCGACTTTGACGCTGTTTCTAACAGCTTTTCAGACCTCCTTCTTGACTTTTTAAATCTTAAAAGTACCTAGCGAACACCTCAGAAACATCTCTGGTAACCCTTAGCTACTTTCTGGATAACAGTCGTCAACATTTCCTGCAGGTTAGAAAAACACTCCGCCTGCGCTCCGGACCGTTCTTCAGGACATTAGGAAAGGGAATGATGTAGTGATGTATCAGTCGCTAAAGAAACAGTTCTCAGAGCCGGCTCCCTGTTGGATTAACCAGAGTGAGTGACACACACCGTACCTGCGGACTCCTGAGCCACTAAAAACGGCTAAATGTGCGGCGCACTAAACACGTGCAGCTTGCCCCTGATTGCTGTGAGACCGGGTTAGGGGGTGGGGCAGCTGTGGTTGGGACAATTATTACATTAACTGATGGACCTGTAAATAAATAGTTTATAAATAAGGTAGAAATAACTTCCTCACGCTGATAACTAATGTCTCTGAGGACACGGTGCTAGTGCACTCTCCTACAGCACCTTGACATGACTAAATAAATGTTATGCAAAATTTTGTGAACATCAATTTATTTGCATTTATTTGTTATAAATGCCACTGTATAATTCTTGCTGTCAGCATTTGCAAGATATTGGTATTTGGGTCTGTACTGGTTAGACTTAAATGAGTTAAACCAAGGTCTATAGCCCTTGGGTCATAAACTATGAGCTAGAACTATATTGGTCTTTATATACTGGGAATCAGGAATTACTTTAGTGATCATCTTGTTCTTATTTATTTTTGTCCTGATTGTGCCCTGAGCAATTTTATGACAGAATAAATACAAATAAAATCAACATTAACTGAAAAATCGTCTTAAATTATCGAGATCTCAATTTCAGTCATAATAATCGTGATTATTATTTTTGTCATAATCGAGCAGCCCTACTTTGAGTCAAAAGCAGAGGTACTTAAACCCTTTATCTAGAAAAAGGATGTATTTGTGTCTTCTTCAACGACGTACGGCAGACTGCCCCGCTGACAGACATTCGTAGTGCGAGTATGTCACGTTGTTTGATGTCCAATAGCATGTGGAGACAATTTCAAAGACAACTGCCCCATGACTGAGATCTGTATCTGGGTCGTGGTCAGACTATATAGGCGTGTATCTGTCGTCTGAACTTCAGGGTAATGTTTTAGGGGGAAAACTGACAGGGAGATATGATGGCATGCGCCTCTCAGCTGTTGTGTTTCCATACAAAGTCAACCCTTTCAGGACTTTGCACAGAAGTTAGCATAACGTCTAAAGTAACATTAAAAGTTTTATTCTGTTGTAAGTACCACAATTTAATCCATTCTGAGCATCAGAAGAGTTGCTGTGGGATATAAAATGTGGTATTTAATGACCAGAAGAAGTACCATTTTTTACAGTGCTAAGCGAGAACACAAAGCCCTGTAAATTACACAGTTTTTACTAATACAGATTCTTTTAGACGACTGCAGATGTAATTTCCTACAGAAAAACCACAGCCGGTCAGCGCGAGTTAAATAAATGTTCCGATCAGCAACTCTACTGGGCATTTCCGAGTACCTATCCCGTTTCATGGCTTTCCGGGCTAGAGAAACTTTGAATCGATGACTAAAAAGCTAATAAATTTAGGGCAAACTGAGACATATTTATGATGATTTGTAAGCGATTTATTTAAAATTACATCACATACCCTCATGAGCAAGCCATATACAAGTTTCAATTTTTTTTAAAAAGTTATTCTGTGGGATTCAAACTAGAGCTGTACAATGTTGCATTTGAGCATCAATATTGCAATGCGTGTGTGTGTGAAAGTCACATCACAGGCCCCAGTGCTCTTACCCAACGCTAAAGACACCTGAAACACAATGATCCACCAATCACCAATTTACGTTTGCTGCCTCTTGGCCAGGACTCTATTGACAATGAGGTTTTGAATCTCAGTGGGACCTTCCTGGTTAAATAAAGAATAAATAAATAATCACAATCTTTCTTTCTCCGTTTCCAGAAACAAACCAAGAGAGGTTGGGTTTGAGTTTGTTTTCTTCCAGTGTATTTGGCTATTTGGTGTGTTTATCAACAACATAGTGTGTGGAATTTGGTTAAAGCTACACATCTGAGAATGGGGGCCAGACGTGTTGAAGTGGATGAGGTAAGGTGTCGATCAAAGGTTTGAAGTTATTAGTAGGATACTAACAAAGGATATGATGAAAACTTTAAGAAAGACTTGTCTGAAGGAGATTTCCATGGTTTTCTGTGGTATGCTATAAACATAAGACATGTTGTCGATGAACCATTAATTGAGCACAATAACTGAAAACTTGGATGTAAAAAGTAGGGCTGTACGATTAATTGCATATGCAATTAAAATGCAATGTGACAAAAAGGAGATTTTCTAATCGTAAAAGCTGCGATTGGACTGGCAGCAAATAGATAGCACAATGGTAATATACATGAAAAGACCCATAGGGATGCTAATGCTAAAATCGCAGATTACATTATTACAAATTTTGAATTATGAACATGCCAAATGATGACATTTGGAGTCTAATAAAAAGTAAAAACTGCAATCAAATAAGTACAGACAGATATTTTAGTAAAGCTAGAAAAAAGTAAGACATTTTAACTCCACTGAGTTTTGGCTAGCAGCTATGGATGTAACTGAACTACAGAAGCTCTGCATAGACAAGATATTTTTGTTCAAGATCATGCTGTTCTGTCAAAGACAAGATGTTTCAAATGGTGAGTCAGACATTTAGCATTTCTAAGTGGTTTGACATACATGTTTAGTCTGCCTACAGTTATGGTTGCATCATGTTGCAACAAAAATGCAGATTTGACCTGGAAGAATTGTCTAATTGTTAACCGTCAACTAGTAACACAGTGTATAAAAGGATTATGGTAGAAATTTTTGACTCAGTAAGATTATCCCTTTTATGGGTTTAAAAAAATAAATTATACATAATTTCTGAAAGCAGGAAAACTCTGGATTGTAGCTCTAACTTCTAAGAGCAAATGAGAAAGTAGGAAGAAATGTTATCTCTGTTTAAATTTTTTCATTTCAGTTCAAACAATGATAAAATTTGTGTTTTCATCCCATCTTGCTTGTACTTTATTATATCTTCTATACACCTTCTTATATCTCTTATTTTTTAATATCTTCATCTTTATTCATGGTATGAGAATTTTTGAGTTGTATTATTTGAAGAAAGTATCATAATACAACGTAAAAATTACTTGAAATGTTTTGTATTTTTTAAAGTGATGTGAAAAGGTAAGTGTGTATGAATGGTGAAAGTTTTGTTTTTGTAGCCGCCAATATTTTTCAACAACTAGGCATCACACAGCAAGAACACACCTAAGATAGGCATCATTTAATTCATTTTCAACAACATTTCAATGGATATTTCCAGATTTATGGTAAACACTACACATTGTCACTTTAAAATAAGTTTTGCATATTACACATAATATTTCTTCTATAATTGTATTTGTTCTACTGCATTTTATCTGTAAGAATGTTAAAAAAACATTACAATATATTGAAATATATATTGTTACCGCATGTGTATCAGATTATATCTTGATATGAATTATAGTCTATTTCACCCAATTCCCGAGTTACTTTACCAGAGTCCATTCCATAGAGTGCAGCATAACTTGTGTTATTCAAGTCATCTGTTGAAAATTCTTGCATTTTTTAATGTTGCATTTTACTTAAGTGTAGAAAAAAATGTGTTATGCGAATTTATTCATATGTCGTGCAGCTCTAATTACAACTGAGTGTGTATAATGATCTGCAACAACACAATCCCCATGGCACAAATAGATAAAGTGGAGTCAGATTTCTTACTATGCACCATTACAATCAATTGCAAAGAGGACAGCTTAAAGGACGGGTTATATTAGAAGGCTTTCATGCTGCGATCTTTTACTTTGACCAAAGCATGCAGCAGACATTTGATTCAAACCTCAGAAATGTCTGACACCAGCATCAGCATTGCTCCATTTTTTTCAGTTGACTACACTATATTTTCCCAAACCGGATAAAAAGATGTCAAAGGCCTGAAACTGTCAAACTTTCTGCTACAACTGGGATAATAAAAAATATATATCTGCACAGTGAGGCTTTCCCTTCAGATGTAAACAAACAAATCTTTATGAATTCATGACTGAGTCCAATACTGCTGCCAACAATTTCTCACATTTCACTGTATATCCAACTGTGTGTAAAGGGGATCTTTATTAGACATCTCAACCAGTAATCTGACATAGCAGATCATGACTAACGCTTGGCTCATCAGCACAAGTACGATTCACAACACTCTGCTCTGATTTCACATCTAATTCCAGTAATTATGTTTCTTTTGTGTGATAAAAAAAACAATAAATGAATGTGTGTACAATACCAGACTGCAGACAGAACGTAAGACTTTCTCTCCTGCATGTTTCATATTTCTGACCAAGTTAAATGTCTTCCTTGTGTTGCAGATGTTTTTCTTTGAAACATTTGCACAACATTTAAGATTCATTAACCAGCAGCTCAACCCTGGGATGTGCAACTAAGCAGGAATGCTGCATGGCACGATCTTACCGTACACTACAGATATGGCCGTCCTGTGTACATGCCCCTGATCCAAACTGAACTAGCCAGCTTGTGTGTTCCTGGAGTCCTGCCCATAATTAAAACAACTGAAGGAATGCTTCATAAACATACCTTTTATTAATGATCTTCTCCTCCTTTTGGTATGGCTTAACGAACCACTTGCCGACGCGAACGAAGCCACGGTTCATCAGGCAGCGCTCCAGCAGGTTGTGAATGGCTTTGAACAGGAGCGTTCGACACTCGTAGGACAGACCGCTCTCCCACTCACCATCCTCCTCGCCTGAAACAAGGCAGATTCATGAAATTAGACTGCAATGACACCTTCATACTCTCTAGTTAAATGCTTACTTCATAATAGACTTTCTTAGAAAGTCCCAACATAACTCGAAATAAGCATCATTTTAAAACTCTAGATGGTTTTATAGACCTGGATGCACAATAACAGGGACTGCTGTAAAAGAGTGAGAGCCAGTAGATTTTACAAGGCTTTAAAGACTGTAAACTATCTGGGTTTTCATAACTTTTTTATACTTTGTATTATTAAAAACTGATTAAAACTCCCCACCACAGTTTAGAATGATGAACCTCACTGACAAACACCAAACGTGTCCCAACACGGACAAAGTTCCAATAAGGCCGACTCTCTTTTCCTGTAACTCCCCTTTAGCATCGGAGCGCCACAGAAAGTCTTATCAGTGTCAATAATTAGACTCTTAAACTGTGCTTTGTGCCACTGATCATAGCCAAACTAAGTGACTAAAGTTTGTCAGTGAACAAACACACACAATTGTGGGCAGGTACAATGAATCAAGTTACTTAAAAATCGTGAATTTTTTTAACCAAGTGAAAAGTAACGAAAATCAGCACTTTTTTTTTTTTGCTGTCCCTAAACGACAAGCTGTTCTCTGTAGTTATGACACGAAAACAAGCCGTCATTGTTTCCTTGGAGATGCTTGCAAATATGAGCTTTACTAGTCAACATCAAGTTTGATTAACGGTATGGTCTCTGAGGGCTATGAAATATTGCCAAGGAGAAAAGAGGAGGGGTCCAGTTACCTCTGAGATATGGAAATGGCTTTGGTGATGCGGTGACCAATAGCAACCAACCGCATGTTTGAAGAGATATTTATCTGAAATAATTATTACAGCACAACAAACCTGTTGCTGCAACAGAAAATGAAAGCATGCAGAGGACTGTGTCATGCCTTGGATCCTCGTCACAAAAGGAAGTCTGTTTATGTTTGAAAAAATCTAAGAACCAAAAAGCGGGTTTTAAACAGAAGCGTTTCCCTTTTGGTATAATCAAAATTAAGTCAGATAATTCTGTTTTACAACAGGCGATGGTTTCACTCTTTCTGTGGAGAAGTCATTAATGTTTAGCCAGTCCTTGTCTACTAATTCTGGTTTATGTCATTAATTATTTTCAAACTAAAATGATGCACATTTAAAACCAGGTGAATCTCGTTTGTAGTCTTTTTCTGTTAAAAAAAAAGTTTACAAGCAGTTAATATCTTACCTGTTGTAGATAAATCTTTGAACACATGCTAATGACTAGCCCAAGTAGGGTCAGTTATCTGGAGTTTTGTTAAACCTAACAAAATTCCACAGCAGTTCAAACGGAATGTTATTTTATTAGCTTTTATGCCACCATAAATTTCTGCTGTTGGAGATTTTCAGACTAGAATCACCACAAGTGAGACGTTTCTGGGTTATTTACGGCAGAAATTAGCTGCAGAACTAGCTACTATAGAACTTTTGTTTGCAATTCTTGGTTATATCCGTCAGAATAATCATGAACTCTAAAAACAATGTAAAATGCTGCATAATCTAAGATTTTTTTGGGACTTTAAAAAATCTTTGTGACTGACCTAATTTGAACTAGCTGTTAGCTCCTCTGTCAGATCAGGACTAATCTACATTGCTCCAAACTAAAGCTGCTTGTTTTCTCTTTATTTTATGCATATAAAAGAGAAAATGTAATCAAAATTACAGTTTGACCATAATTCTAAAAAAAGAACAAACTAACCAATCTTAATTTATTTCTGTGATCATACCACCCACCCCTCAAGTAAACGTCACAATATTTCCATTTGGATCAATGAACATCAAAGTTGGTGAGAGTTAAACGGGATATTGTGCGAATCTCAAACCCGGCAGAAAACATGCAAATGATGCATTCACTTACTCGAAAGCTCATTGTGGATAAGCTCTGCAAAACTGGGGTCATCCCCCCACCAGAAAAGCCAAAGCTCCCTGCGACCCGGGGTGTGGTGCCTTCTCCACACACTTAGCACATCTGCTGCCAGGCATCGGCTGAAGCTACACAAGATCGGGTCCTCCTCGGTCACCGGGAAGAGGATGGGCGAAGAGGTGGGACCTTGCCACACAAAACGTCGCCATTTTATTCCAGTCAAATCAGCCTAAAGGGAAGAAAATATAAAAAAACAAAGTGTGAATAAAAATTTAAAACACAAAGGCAAATCCATGGCTATGCGTATGTGTTTTAGAAAGCTGAAGGCTGCTTTTTCTGTCTTATAGTAAAGCACTTTACATAATAAAGATAATAACAAGAGGATGGTTGACATTGTTGCACGCGGTGTATAGTTACGGACTGGGCCAACTTGTGACTGCCTAGTTGTATTATGAATAAACTTAGCAAGGCTCACAAAGTGCTGCACAACACTGCAATGCAAGGTGGCATCACTGGAAGTGACATGAGGTTCAACTTGTCCACAAACGTGTCAACAGATGAAGAGGAAAAGGCCTGAGCTGCAGGTGTCTTTCATCTGAGACACGTCTGACCCTCAGCACTTGTATTAGCATCAATGCACGGGGGGTTTCTATCAACAAATTAAAAATGAAGCTTTATGTGGTGGATGAACCAACTTATTTGTCCCTCTTTTCCATACAATCAACATGTTAAAAAAACTTGAAAAACATTTACATTTAGATATTTAAGCTTTTGTTTTTTAGAAAATAGAATGCACAAACATACCTGATGCAAAAATTAATAACAGAGAAGAACTTCAAAAGCTGATTAATTGAAGTATTTTACACAGTAACTGATCAAACTTTCTATTTCAAGATCATTTCAGAGCAAAGCCACCTTCTAGGAAAAAAACATTCTGTGTTTTCATTCATTTTGTTCTAAAACATGTAGACAACACTGAATGTTTCACTGCAAAAAAAAAGTAAGCATAAACTTGTAAACACATTTCATTTTAAGTTGCCAAGGCAGCTGACTTCATTCCAGACTTTTCCAGAGGTTAATTTCCAGACTGCAGCTGATTCTAGAACATTTCCTGAATTTTACTGTAAATATCCACTAAATAATTGTGAAATAGGCTAGTTAATGTGCACCTGGTATTCTGACAGTTATTTTAACACGTTTCTATAAAGGTCAAATGATCCAACTAACAAACAGAATAACACTCAGCATGGAAAACTCAAGATATAACCATGGAAAACCAACAGATGTCCATCCCACTAGTAATATAGATGTTATTATATTACACGTTAATTTTACGTGCATTTCATGATTAGTCAATAAATAATATCATGATCGCTAAGGTTTGTCTTCATTTTTCATGTTAAATAACTCCATAACTTAGCTACATTGTTTTGAAAAGCTTGTATGTTCACTTCTTTAGAATCTGATTTTTACATTTTTGAGTAATAAAATAGTAGGAAACGAAAGTCTGGTAACGCAAATGCGTTCCACACACTGCTCTTATTTCCATACATGTAACGGAAAATACAAAATAAAAACAATTTTATACTTTTTCAGACTGCAAAGAAAACCCTGTTATTCTGTTTATAGATCATTTAAAAACATATCCAACACAATTTAGAACAATCGGCTGTGTTTCAAACAATTCCCAACCCGTTATAAACATGTTGCTAACACTGATTATCCCTCTTCAACTGCAGTGTAAACATGGGCCAAAAGCACAATCGCAAACACGTCATTTTTTATAAAGTAGCCAAACAACATGTGTTTTGTGTGTTATTAAAACAAGCAGGATGACAATTTGAGACTTGAAGGCCCGATGCCTTCTCGCCAATCTGAAACTGACGTTACAAAGCTTGTTGCCTTCTGAGCCAAAATGGCTTTCTGGCCTTTCAGCAACACAACTAGCGCTAGCTAGGCTTACCAGGCAGAAGATGTTGGAGTGGCAATCCTCCAAACTGGCTCCGTTTGGTACAAAGCACGAACTCATCCTTTCACTGCGCGGTGGTAACGTTCAAGTCCATTGTCTCAACCACCTTTGGGGCAATAGCTGATAGGTGTAACTCGCAAGCGAAGCGACGTTCACTTGTAATTAAGTCAGCCAACTTCTAACCGGCGCTAGCTACTAGCCTGGCGGCTAAGCTAACATTAGACAGACAGCCAGATAGCGTCAACTGTAGGCTTCTAGCTAGTCGATTCATCAATCCTATTTGAAATGTATTGTCTGATCTGGTTAGCCGCAGAGCTGCGGCCACATCACATAAATATCAAACAATTAACGTTAACCTAACCAGAACAGACTAAAGTTAAAACAAACCCCAGAAATTTGAAAGAACGAGCTCGGAAACTAAAAAAACTTCATCACAAAAGCTTGGTCCCTGGTGTGCTAATGCTAACGTCAGCTAGCTGATCTGAAACAATTTCAAAGCAGAGGAACTCTCCCCTCCCCCTGATCTCAGCTAGCCTGCCAGCTAAATAAAACAATCAGCTACACCGCCCTCATTCCTTCTAAAACCTCAACGGAGCTCCGTCATGATAAAACTGTTCGTCAAACAGAATAAATGCCAAATCTCCGACACTACTCATCGGCTAATCGTCTCTGCCTGGATCCATGGGTGTCCTGCAGATTTCCATTATTTCACTACATGGATTGAATTCTTTAATGGCGGCCAGGAGGACAACTCTGCCTCTCAGCTCCCATTGGCCAATTTGTGTTGATGGGGGCGTTATCCGGCTTCAAGAAGCTCCATGACTTCACAGTTTACAAGATGAGAGCCTCAGTGCATCTGTCATACAGTGGTAACTCTTTACTTAACATGTCTCACTCTGCTGCCAGTGCTAGACGTTACCATTTTTATATAATATGTCAAGTTTATAAGGCGGCAATTTAGCTTTTGCACTTTTAAAACAAAGATATCAGCACTCTAATGTGTAATTGGGGATTAATGTGCAGATGTTAAATAATCTGTGGGCAATCTGAGTGGTTGCTGCTAGCACTAGCATCCTTAGCAAGTTAGCTAACTAGCCGAGCTTTTAACGTTCACAAACCTTTACGTTTTAAACCAAAGTCGACTGCACATGATGTTCTTTGGTTTTTTTTTTTTATGTAAACTTGATGCTGCTTTCGCTTCTACGTTGAGGGGCGGAGCTTCTGCTTACAGTCCCGTTTTAAACGTCCCTCCCCCAAAAAGGCGGAGCGTCAGACTAGTCGAGAAAATGTCAACAACATGCCGGAGCCCACCCGAGAAACAGAAACAGAGGAGGTTGTGAGTGACAGGCGACGGAGACGGGAAGAAAACCAGAACCAGCCGTCACGTAACGTCGTGTCCGTAGTTTCTCAATTCGCAGACGAGAATTTGTCGCTCGTGCGGGTAGGAGCCTCTTTTGTCTAGGATCGATGACGTATGTGGTCTCACGAGCTGAAACCTGCACATGTGGGGACATGTCTTTTAAGCTGCTCTTTTGCAACACACGATGTCTGGTGAATCACCACACCGGCCAGATATCCCATCGCCAGCTGTCAACAGTAGCCTTTAGTGCGCTTGTGTTACTGTCATTGCTGGGTGGAAGCACATCCACAGCTGAGTGTAAGATTTCACTCTCACCCTGTCACCTTCCTCTCCCTCTCTATCTCCTGTCTCACACAGAACATTAGCACTGGACTGGCTCTCGCTGGTGTGATAGTGATCGCGAGGAGCATCAAACTGGTAGGGAAGAAAAGCCCAAGTGATACTCAAACACACTCCGTTAACTGATGACATAAAAATAAACATGACAAATCCAAATCTAAAAGACCTTTTTATCTTTTGGTCTCTGCAGATCACAAAATTCCAAGCTGCTTGTGATATTCCCGCTCGTTTCATTGAGAGGAATGTCAGTCTTCGTGGGAAAGTTCATTCCATCACAGAGAAAGGAATCGAAGTGGAGCACGTTCCGATTTATCTACCTGTTCTCTCTCCATTACTGTCAAATCACAAGGGTAAAGCTGGAGTACTTTGTTATTATTACTGATTTTCTTTATTTACAATTACCAAAATAGCAGCAACATCCCCTGTTTCACTTTATTTACAACTACATTTAAAATATTTGTAGTAATGATACACAATAGGGAGCCTAAGTCACGTCCGTCTACATCAGGACTATGGGTCCCCAGCTGCCAAAACATAAATGGAAGTCTGATCCCGTTTGAAATGCGCCATGGATTTCACATATGACGTCCATGAATTTTAAAGGTGTGGAACACTTAAAAAAACATTTTAAATTATTTCTGATAATAATCAGTCATTCTGAGTGTTTCATGCAGGCTGAACATGAAAATAGTCTCCTACACCTCCTGCATTAGCTCGGCTGCGGCCTTTCTGCGTGGAGTTGCGTGTTCTCCCCATGCATGCGTGGGTTTTCTCCGGGTACTCTGGTTTCCCCCACAGATCACAACATGCCCTATAGGTTAAAAAAATTGTAAGTCGCTTTGGGTAAAAGCGTCTGCTGAGCACATAAACATAAACATTAGCTTCTGACAGAAAATAGACAATGAAACTCTAGGATTTGAAAAGCCTGACAGATCTACGACACACTGTCACTGAACGTTCATGGACTCACCCATCTTGACGCGCGACAGAGAAGGCTGTTGTTGGTTTAGCGTCCAGGAAACAGCAGAGAACGTCTCTGCTTGTAGAAGCTTACTATTAGCATTAGCGACTACCACACAGCAGAACTCCTTCAGGCTTGTCATTTGTGGAGATAAAACACCAATCTTGCAAAGTCAGTGGTTGCCGTTTGCCGGTCCGAGGCGAGATGTTCGAATATCAGGAAATAAGAATCCAAATCCTGTCTTCTGAAGCTACTTTCTCCCCCAGCTGAATTCTCTGTGCAGAAATAGGCACTCATGGGCTTTTTTTTTCCCACCTCGAAAACAACTTACAAGGCATTCATTCCCACTAGAGACCACTGCAGATTTATTGACTGAATGAGTGTTCATCACCTTTAAATACACATTTTGATGCCAAGAAAGCACTTATTTTCAAATGGCACCAACAGTTATTTCAGGTTTTTGTGTGAAAAGACGTAACAGACTACAAATTATCGTCTCACCAAATTGATGTCATCGAACCAGGCACGGAGAAGAGAAGATTCGTTTAGCGAGCTTCAAATCCTCCTTCCAGGATGAAAAAAGGAGCATTAAATGTGGAGAAACCCACTATAAATCTCGCCATATGGTAAGTAGCAGCGACGCTGCTGGGGAGGAGAGACTCTGCGATGACGTCTAATTTGTAGTCGTATTATTACAAATGTTTACAAGCTAATGAATCTCAAAGTACGTGACAGACATAGTCGGAACACATATTTACTTTTCATTTAAACTGAAGTACAGCATATGTGTGATTCAGGGTGTAAAGCATAGCAGATTAGAAAATAGTTTTTATAACTCTAATCGCTTGCATTCCTTCTTTCTTTGTGCCGGAGGCCCGTGAGCCGACCGGAAGGGAAGGAGACTTATGCTCCCTATGAAGTCATTTTGTCAAATAAATTTTAGACACTCAAATAACTAATGCAGCATCTGAGAAGGAAGATGAATGTTTTTAATCCCCATTTTACACAGATTAATTAAAAATATTTACAAATTGAATATGTGGAAAAGTAAATTTTTAATATATTAACAAAACTACCAATGCATAGACATTATTTCAAAATTACAGATTTTTCATAATATCTACATAATGTGACTTCAGTTTAGTTCCCTCATATCAGAGGAATAGTCCCTGTCGGCCCTAAAAATGTGATTTATTTTTTATAAATAAATAAAAAACTAAAATATTTTCACGGGGATTTTTGTTAACGTTTACTCCTCAAAATAGGTCAAAAATAGGAATAATAGTAAACCTCTGAACATAAAAATGTTATCATCCTACACCAAAAACCTGCTTGATAGACAATATTCAGCATAATAGAAATGCAACAGAGGGCCGCACAAAATATCTCTGAGGGCTGCAAAGGGCGCCTGGGCCTCAATTTTAACCTTCTGGCTTATATGTATTGTCAGATTGTCATAACATTCTGATATTGGTTGAAAACAGTTAAATTATTAAACATGGTTAGTCTTTTATTATTACCTACAGATGTGGACAAAATAGTTGGTACCCTTTGCTCATCCATCCATCCATCCATCCATCCATCCATCCATCCTTGGCTCCTTATCCGGGGTTGCATTGGCAGCAGCCTAAGCAGGGAGGCCAAGACTTATGTCCCCAGCCACTTGTGCCATGTTCCTCGGGGGAAACTTCAAGGCATTCTCTGGCCAGCCGAGAGACAAAGTCCCTCCAGCATGTCCTGGATTCTCCTTTAGGTTTTCTCCCGGTTGAACTTGCCCGGAAAACCTCGCCAGGGAGTGGTCAAGGAGGCATCCTAACTAGGTGCTCAAGCCACCTCATCTGGCTCTTGATGTGGAGACAGAGAAAAATATGCTGGCGCTTCAGTAAATGAAAGAAAAACCCACAATGGTCACGGAAATAACTTGAATTTGACAAAAGTAATAATAAATAAAAATTCTATGAAATTTAACCAATGAAAGTCAGACATCTATCTATCTATCTATCTATCTATCTATCTATCTATCTATCTATCTATCTATCTATCTATCTATCTATCTATCTATCTATCTCATATATATATATATATATATATATATATATATATATATATATATATATATATATATATTAACTTGTGGAACAGGTTTGGACAAAAATGATGGTACCCATAGAAGGATTTAAAATAATGTGACCAAAGGGACATGTTAATTGAAGGTGTGTCCACTAGTTAACATCATAGGTGTCTACAATCTTGTAATTAGTCAGTAGGGCTCCACTGTGTTGTTTGGTGACGTGGTGTGCACCACACTCAACGTGGACCAGAAGAAGCGAAGGAAAGAGTTGTGTCAGGAAATTAGAATGAAAATTATAGACAAGCATGTTAAAGGTAAAGGCTTTAAGACAATCTCCAAGCAGCTAGATGTTTTTATGATTACAGTTGCACATAGTCAGACATTTCAGATCCATGGGACTAGAACAACCTCTCTGGACGTGGCTTCTAGAGGAAATTTGATGACAAATCAAAGAGACAGATAATCTGAATGGTAACAAAAGAGCAGAGAAAAACTTCTAAAGAGATCCAAGGTGAACTTCAAGCACAAGGAACATTAGTGTCAGATTGCACCATCCGTCGTGGTTTGAGCCAAAGTGGGAGACGACCAAGGAGGACACCATTGTTGAAAATAAAAACGCCAGACTGAAATATTCTAAACTACATGTTGACAAGCCAAAATCTTCTGGGAGAATGTCCTTTGGACAGAAAAGACGAAAATGGAACTTTTTGCCAATGTACATCAGCTCTATGTTCACAGACGGAAAAATGCAGCATATCTATGGGCTTAAATAAGGGCCATAATGTTGTTGTAGTTAAAAGAAAAATTTGAAATTGAAAATATGTAAACTGAAAGCAAAAGTCACATTTTTAGAGTGAACTTTGAAAAAGAAAGACTTGGATTTAAAATAAAATCAAACGTTTGGAATATTTGTAAGAACTGAAACCCCAATGGTATTTTTATTTAGAATTTTTCTGAGTAAACTTTACTAAAGAATTTTCAGTAATTTTTTTTAATTATTGTTTTTTTTAAAACCATTCAGTCTCAGATTACATTTTTTCACATTCAGATCTTTTTAATTAATGTACAAAAAATTTCTTCAGGTTCAGATTTTTCTTTCAGCTTCAGATTTTTTTTTCACTTTCGGATCTGTATTTTTCAGTTACAGACTTTTGGCCCTGTTTTGGCCTGGTGGGCATGGCTACACAGAGAGGGGCGGGGAATCATGAGTGACAGCAGGACGCTGGAGGCTGAAGACGGCCCATTTTTCATGTTGCCTTCAGGAAACCTGGGAATAAACACAATTTATCAAACACCTCCTGCACTGTATTATTTGATAATGGTTAGATAACATGTCATGCATAACTGCTTAAACTCAGTTACTAAAGCTCTTTCAATCAGTAATGTGTACAAATTACGCAGTGACTGATCAATTATGAGAAGTTTTCCCAACTACTACGTTAGAAGTAGTAGAAGTTAGGCACGGACAGACAGGGAAGTTGTCCGGGGCGGCATTTTTTCATGACACAAAAGGGACGCACAAGCGCTGAGTAAAAAAATAAAAAAAAGAAATCTGTGCCGCACCGAGGTTTTCTATTCTATCTGTCATATCACAGAGTCTGGATTGGAAACAACAAGTTGGCGCCCCCTGCAGCTGCAGGCGCTCCTGCTGACTGAGAGGGTTCAGGTGCACTGTGTGTGTATGAAGAAGAGGAAGGGGAGGGGCGCGGCGGGGGAATTCACCTCTGGGTCTTTCCCAAATGAAATGAGCGGGTAGGGGCTGAATCAACTGAATTAACATGGCTAAAGTCAATCACATCTTGATGTTCTTCCATTTAACACACGTTTCATTCATAATATCATAAACACAGGCCTATCATTCTTTCAGGTTTTCTGAATTGTGTGAAATGGCCGAATAAAAAAAGGAAAAACAAAACGATTTTGTGGTCACCCACCCAGGTCAAATTGTTTAGTCCTGACTAAAGGAAACTTATTGAGTCAAGAGCCAAACAGAAGAGATGAACATGAAAAAGCTAAAACCACCAGCCGCATTGTGGGGGCCTGGGAAAGACCCAGAGGTGAATTCCCCCCACCGCGCCCCTCCCCTTCCTCTTCTTCATACACACACGGTGCACCCACCTGAACCCTCTCAGTCAGCAGGAGTGCCTGCAGCTGCAGGGGGCGCCAACTTGCTGTTTCCAATCCAGACTCTGTGATATGACAGATTGAATATAAACCTCGGTGCGGCGCAGATTTCTTTCTTTTTATTTTTTTACTCAGCGCTTGTGCGTCCCTTTTGTGTCATGAAAAAATGCCGCCCCGGACAACTGCCCTGTCTGACCGTGCCTAAAACTGCTACTGATTTCACCATGAAAATTAAATAAAAAAACAGAATAGCCGAAAATGAATCTTACTTTTAATCGTAACAATAGCCACTTCGTAAATTCTTAGCATTCACAGACTGCAGTGTAACTTTTCCAAACTTAAACACTCACCTGACTGTTCGCACCAGCAGTGTTGTTGGATGACGACGCCATCGTTCCCTGAGGCACAACAGCAGCACCCACGTATGCTACTTTGAGAGCATGGGAAATGATCACTTCTCACGTAGTAGTTGGGAAAACTTCTCATAATTGATCAGTCACTGTGTAATTTGTACACATTACTGATTGAAAGAGCTTTAGTAACTGAGTTTAAGCAGTTATGCATGACATGTTATCTAACCATTATCAAATAATACAGTGCAGGTTACTGATTGAAAGAGCTTTAGTAACTGAGTTTAAGCAGTTATGCATGACATGTTATCTAACCATTATCAAATAATACAGTGCAGGAGGTGTTTGATAAATTGTGTTTATTCCCAGGTTTCCTGAAGGCAACATGAAAAATGGGCCATCTTCAGCCTCCAGCGGCCTGCTGTCACTCATGATTCCCCGCCCCTCTCTGTGTAGCCACGCCCACCAGGCCAAAACAGGGCCAAAAGTCTGTAACTGAAAAATACAGATCCGAAAGTGAAAAAAAAATCTGAAGCTGAAAGAAAAAATCTGAACCTGAAGAATTTTTTTGTACATTAATTTAAAGGATCTGAATGTGAAAAAATTTAATCTGAGACTGAATGAATTTAAAAAAAAAACAATAATTAAAAAAAATTACTGAAAATTCTTTAGTAAAGTTTACTCAGAAAAATTCTAAATAAAAATATCATTGGGGTTTCAGTTCTTACAAATATTCCAAACGTTTGATTTTATTTTCAATCCAAGTCTTTCTTTTTCAAAGTTCACTCTAAAAATGTGACTTTTGCTTTCAGTTTACATATTTTCAATTTCAAATTTTTCTTTTAACTACACAAACATTTTGGCCCTTATTTAAGCCCATACATATCAAGAAAAGAACACTGTCCCCAACGTGAAACATGGAGGAGGCTCTGTTATGTTCTGGGGTTGCTTTGATGCATTTGGCACAGATGTCTTGAATCTGTACAGGGTACAATGAAATCTCAAGGCTATCAAGGGATTCTAGAGAGAAATGTGCTGGCCAGTGTCAGAAAGCTTGGTCTCAGCCAAGTCATGGGTCTTGCAACAGGACAATGACCCAAAAACACACAGCTAACATCACCCAAGAAGGGCCAAGAGAAAAACATTGGACTGCTATAAAGTAGCCTTGAATGAGCCCTGACGCCAATCATATTGAGCATCTTTGGAAGGAGCTGAAACACGCCATCTGGAAAAGGCGCCCTTCAAACCTGAGACAACTGGAGCAGTTTGCCCATGAGTGGTTCCAAATCCCTGCTGAGAGAGGTGCAGAAGTCTCATTGACAGTTACAGGAATAGTTTGATTGCAGCGATTACCTCAAAAGGCTATGCAACAAAATATTAAGTTGGGGTATCATCATTTTTGTCCAGGCTTGTTCCAGGAGTTTATTATTATTTTTAATCATTCAATTAAAGCATGGTTGAAAAGCAATGTCTGACTTTCATTGGTTAAATTTCATAGAAGTTGTATTCATTATTACTTTTGTCAAATTCAAGTTATTTGTGTGACCATTGTTGGTTTTTCTGTCATTGGTCAAAAGGTACCAACAATTTTGTCCATGTCTGTAAATGTGAAAGCTGGGGTATGGAGTAACATTTTTATAAAATAACTTAAAAGGCTTAAATTTGACTATCTGACCCTGTTCTATGATGTAAAGTTTGTAATCTTTCAGAATTAATATTACCCCTTAGACCCTCTCCTGGTCTCTACAGCGAAACGAATAATTTATGCGTGCCAAGAGTGTTGACCAATAGAATTGTGTATCCACAAGAGAGACTGAGCCTCAGCACACCAACCTAGCATGAATGCTAACTTGACTTGCATTGTATTAATGTCAATGTAAACTTCAAGCTAATTTTGGAGGAGGAGGGAGGGAAAAGAAAGGGGATTAATGTTTTGTGTATCGAAGCTAAGTGAATATAGTGGCGTTCAACCTTACGCTACATCGGAATATTGCTGTATTCCATTGTTGGGTTAGCAACGAAAGCCCATGCCAGCTTCCTGCCGGTTTTAGATTTTTAGCTGCTTGAACGCTGCAGATTTGAA